AAGTCACTTTCAGATTTAAAGCTTACAGCAATAGTTTCATGATCAGTCCAGTTGGGCACAGGTTTATTTTGCTGCAGAATGGATTATTCCTCTTGGCTCCAGCTGCTCAAGTCCTGACAGGGGCACTCGTGGAGCCATGTGGCAGATTGGCTCTGGGAACCAGTTTGGGTGTAGACTAACCATTCTGTGGGAGGGCTGGTTATTTTTCAGCTACATCAGTGCTCTGATTCAGTTCATTGCATGGCTGCATGAACGCTCACACTGGCACAGGGAGAAGGGGCATGAGAAAGGGGATAGGCAGGGGGAGGAGAAACTGAGGACAAGGCTGCACTTCCCTGCACCAGTGTTGGTTTATGTCAGGCCATAGTGATGTGGAACTAAGGCTTTTGAATTTACAGAGCATCCTGACAGAGCAAAACTAATGTTTTCAAAAGACTGTTGAGGACAGATAGCAGAGGAAGATGGAAACTGATTCTAAGGAGCTGGTCCAGTTATACAAAAAATCTGAGGCTGATGAAAATATCTTTAAAAGGAACCTTTAAAAACAATTTCTTTAATGCCAAACCAAAACACAAAGCAGCATTCTGCCATTTCTCACAGTCTGAACGAGCTCAAATGCAAGAACTCAAGAATTTGCTAAAACACAAATGAAAACAAGTAGTTCCAAAAAGACAAACCAATCAGCACAAATGGCAAAGTAAAGGAACATTTTAAAGAAACACAATCTAAACAACTTCAGGAATTATCTTTTAACAAAACATATTTTACTTGTAGATTCCAGAGGACAAGCTTTTAAATGTTTCAGCATCCCATAAAAACATAAAAAATGCCCACTTCTGTTGGTGAATTATTGTTTGCCATGCATTAAACAGAAAAAATGTTTCCTTTACAAATGCTGCAGTTTGCTTTTTACACCAGTATAATCTATTATTAGTCATCAAAAAAATTGCTTTGGACTTGCCAGCAGTTTTAACTCCGTCTGCCTGGTGGTTCTATTTTATCCCTATCAAATTTAAGTGTAAAATTATGCTTTCAGCATTCTCATGCAGAAAGTGGGGAGGAAGAAAAGGTCTGAGGGCACAGCTGGAGGGGCTGTGTTGCATGCAAGTAAGTGTACTTGCAAATTTGTGCAGGGTCCAAACACTCTGAGTCAACTCTAGTGTCATCATGGGATAAAACCACTAAGGCAGCTGTTGAGTTTCCTGAGGTATCTCCAGTGGTGCAATGAGAAAGCCACGAGGAAAACACATAAAGAATGTCTATATTATGAATTATAAAGAGTAAATGCCATGGGAACTTCTGCTTCCCATATTTTCTAATAAATGAGCAGAGACACATTTGAGATGAAAAGGCCACAAAGGCTTAAGAGGGATAAAATTATTTCCCTTTTTTTTTTTTAATAGACTACATGAGCTGAACTGCAGAACTTGCAGCCTTATGACATTACAAGAGGAAATACAGCTGCCAGAAGTTCATACACTTTTGAACAACTCTATTATAGGAACTATGAAAGTGCCTATGATGTTATGGCACTAAGAACAAATATGTTTTGCTCTACGAGACATCGATTTTCAGAGTTCTGTAAAACATGGCAATGAGAAAAACAGGACTTTTACTCCACTAAAAATTTGATTTCACATTTGCATATTTTGCACTCAGTTTCAGATATTTCGTTTCAATTTCTTCTTGAGCAACTTGCTCAAGAAATAATAGTAATATTGACCTCAACCTGTTCCTCCTTCCCAGGCAGGAACAATGCTGTGTATCACTTTTGAGGGAGCTACTACCTTCTCCTAAATTAGCATTTCTCATCCTTCATTTTCTTGAGTCACCACAGAAAATATGGCAAAATAAATGAAACTGTAATAGCTGGCTGTGGGCTCTGTAATATCCTCCCAGTGACATCACGATATTGATGTCCCACAACTATCACAAATATTGACGTGGGAAAGAGCCACATGTTTACACCTTTCAGTGTGGAACTGACACTGGCTGTGGGTAATTTCCAGCTGAAGAGTTTAAGTTTCACAGAATTACTCTGAAGGTTCTAACTTGTTCCTTCCTTGTGGTGAAGTAGTACTCCCTGGGCCCATAAACATCTATTCATGTCCTGCAGTCATGCATCCCCTAAACAGATCCTATCCTGGAATGCCTGTCTTGATTCATTTTCCAATCAACCATATTCTTACTAATTGAAAATAATGGCTCTGGCATTACCTACTATATAATTGCATCTTTGCTACTCTTTTTTAAGTCAGCTGCTTCACAAATTAGCGGAGAATAACCAGCAAGAAATTAAAGATATTATAATCTCTTATCTCTGGGAAAATAAAGAATACTAAAAAAAAGGATTTTTCTGAGTGGCAACTTAAATGACCAAGTCAGTTTTCCTTCTCTTACTTGTCTATTAATCTGCCAAGAAGTCACAAAGTTCAGAAGTAAGAACATGCTGGATCAACACATTTTTTGTCCCTTTATTTCATCCTCTTTCCAACAAGCACCCTCTAATTCACATGGAACTTTTTAGCAAACTCTAATTTTATTATTTTCTAACACATTCCCAGTGATTTTTGCAAGGCTCACTCCCTAGAGAAATAACCTCTGGAAGATAAGCCCTTGGTGGACCTCTCCTTATAAAGGATTCCCCAAATTGTCCAGTGGGAAGAGAATGCTATTTGAAATAAATTGCAGAAATAAACTTCTTTATGGATCAGAGAGGCTTCCAGAGAACACATGGCCAACACTGCCCTGCAGCAAGTTCAGTTTACTTGAAACTTCTCTGCTCCACAGCTCATGCTCTCACAAGAACGACTCACAAGGATTCACCACCTTCCATGACAGTGCACCAAAAGAACTCTGCCAAAGTCATTTTCCTTGGAATGAAAAATATCTAAGGAGAGACAGTGCTTTCTCCCTTCTTTCTGTTCCTTGCTCCTTTCTAAGCCACCACCTTCCTCTCTCCAATGCCAAAGCAATGCATTGTATGTAGTGTGGTTCAGCACAGCATTTTTTTCCCCCGTATTTTGGCTTGTGGGTTTTTTTTGTAGTCCACAAGACAGCCTAATGAGGGAAAGGCCCACATGAAAGAAAACCCAAAAGACTAAAATAATGAGTCTGGCTCAGAAGGACAAGAAACATTTTTACACATCACAGCCAGCTTGCTAGCCTTTGTGCAATGGCCTAAGTTGTGATATATGATTGATTCATTTGTTTTTCTACTCATTTGCATTTCATATTACAAGACAATTAAAAAAAATTTGAAAAAAACCACTAATTTACTTCATAACAGATTTGCAGAAGACTTAATAAGCTCTTATTTTGTGCAGAAATCCAAACACTGTCTTATTAAACAACACTGCTTGTTGAAGAGAAAATGCTTCAAACTCTTAGACCTAAGACAGACACGCAAATCTTAAAATACTCCATCTTGAGCCCAGTTCTCCTGTTATCCTGCACTGAACTGCATGCAGAATCACGCTAGCTGAGGAGCATTTTTAACAGGCTTCGAAGGCCGGGAAATGCTCTGCATGTTTCGTGTTTTACACGGAGCATCTGCGAGCGCCTGAGTCAGCGAGCGCCGGGCAGGCTCAGTGTCAGACCGCCCTCTCACGGCAACGCCGGGGCAGGAGCTGCGCCCGCTGCCGCTGCCCCAGGCTACGAGAAAGATGTCAGAGACCGTCTCTTATCCCCAACACATGTAGGCATCAGCACATGCAACCAGGACCTTCCAAATTTCAAGCTGGAAGCAGTTTTTTATGCTCCGGCTTCTCTGCGAAAATGACCAAAGCATCGCTTTATCATCGCGCTGGAGTTTTGCTGCTTTTTGTCCTTGCACTCAGCAGAATTTGGCACTGGGATTGGATTCTCCATCCTTCCTTCTGTACTCTGAGTCTTGTAAATTCTGGCGTCATTAACAGCCTTGTAGCTATCATGGCTCGAAGCAGCCCTCTAGGGCACTGCAACAGAACAGTGCACAGAGTATCTTACCTGCTTTCATCTACTCTTTATCTCTTACATTCCCACCTTATCCCAGTCACATCTATCAGGGAGGACTAATACAGAATTAATTCTGTAACAGAAAACAGCACTACTGGACCAGTATAAAAAAGATTGCAATTCAGTGCAGAATCTGTATCTTCAGCTGCACGTTAAAGAACATCATGTCTTTCACACATTCCTGGAAGAAAACTACACAATTCAATCACTTTTTCTCCATGTTGGGATTTAAGTTCTAGAATATTGAAAACATATCAGCATTGCTTTGAAACAGTAATAGAGAGGTATGTCACAGTTGTTTTGTTGCTTGTTGTATAGAAAACACATTACACAGATGCTAAAACATCACACAGAGGATAAAGGATGTCACACAGAGGATTGGACAGTAGCTGCATCTGCAACTTCAAGAGATGAACAGAAATACACCTAATTTTTCATGAGGACACCAAGCAGCCAATTCTTTTGGGACAAAATGTAGTACAAAACTAGGCTCAGGAAACTGTAATTGATGCCTGAGTGAGGTAGGAATTATTATAATCATCTTCTCATACTATTATTTAACATACAATACCTGTTCTGAAATGCTGCACCATGCTTGAATTGCTCACCATTTTGAAGGTTTACACTTACAAAGAAGCTAAACTGACAGCACCTAGCCCATAAATGAAGTCATATCCTTATGAAACCCACTACAAAGTCAGACAATGTACTCCAAGGGAAATATATGTATTTCAATTTGTTCCTGTAAAGCAGGATGGGCTGGCAACTACACAACCAGAAGTCCAAAATATTTCCATCCCTGCTGCATGTGGATGAGTATGGAAAAAACCTCAGGGTTCACAGTACTTAGAATATGAAGGTTTGAGTATTAATTTTACAGTAAAAAGGATTTCTTTTGCACTGCTATTGCAATACTTGGCTGATGGATGATGTTTTGCTGGGAAGGGAAGGGAAGGGAAGGGAAGGGAAGGGAAGGGAAGGGAAGGGAAGGGAAAGGGGCTTACCTTGTGTTGTCCCGTCCAGTCCCATGAGACATTTCATTGCCCTGATGATTTGCTCTGCTACGGGGGGACACATGGATGTGGCGTACACAGCACTATGAGAATGAGTTCGTAAAAAGTCCACAAGGTCCTTACACAAGCAAAACAGAGCATGAATGAGCTTTGAGCTGGCCAAACAGCAGACCTCAGACCTCCCTCTTAACTACTGCAGGAGTGGGAATGTGCAGAAGGAGGAGGACATTTCACCAGCTACTGCATTGCATTCTTGACTGCCACTGTTAATACATGGCCTGAAGAAACATCAGGCAGGTCCAAATGCTTTACCATATAAGTGGGACAATTACAGCTGAAACAAAAGTCTGGAATAGAATAATATTTACTTCTGTGCTCAGACTTATTATAAAGGAGCCAAAATAATTTCAAGACCAATGAACAGCCGCACTTAAAATAATGCTGCTCAGTTCCCCTCTGGTAATGAAACAAAGGCTATATGACATCAGTATAGGTTCTCTGCCACATAACTTAGCCCAGGAAAAGCAACCTCACTGAGATCTATCTTTGTCTATAAGCACATAAATTTTCAATCAAAACTTTCAATCAGTGTGGCAGGTACAGTCATGTCAGAGCTGGTATAATTGCTTTAACATTTCCTAAGAACACAATCTGTCCTCTTAGAAAAACCATTGATATACTGTAGGCATGTCTAAAACACCAGTAACTCTCCTGAATTCAGGCATGCAGTAGGAATTCTGATCTTACTAAGATCATGATTGTTATAAATATCTCCTAGTGCAAAATATCAGAGTAACAGTTACCACACTAAAAGGTGGTGTGAGTGTGTGAGTAAGTGAGTGTGTGTTAGTGAGAAAGGGATGAGGCCTACTTGAAAATTGACTTTGATAAAAAAATAAAATCAGAAAAGAAAATCCAGCGAGAGTAAGACAAATCACTACCAAAATGCTGTATGAGTCTACGCAGTAACTCCAGTGCTGAGGATAAAGATTTACCTAACCTTACACAGGTTGTGCATGGCCATATTGCAATTGTATTCCTAAGGGTTTGGTTAAAAGCTAAGAAGGCGTCTGGGCTCCAGCTGATGCAGAATAAACAGCAGCACTGTGAGTTTTTACCTACAGAAAGGAACATAAGTGGGTGAATGGGTGACCAGCCTTCCAAGGCTGAGAAGCCTGAGGCAATACTTAGTGATATACATAGGCGTGAAAAGAGTGACTTGTTTTCACTCAAAAAAACCTCCCAAGGATTAGAGGATAAATTACATGGGACTTTGCTTTTCACAGGTCTAATCTTTCTATACTTTCTAGCTACATTACCCATCTTATTTTTGGTAAGAAATAAATGTACAGATACAAATTCAGGAAGCCAAGGAAACAAAGAAAATTGATTCTCGATCTATTATGACACTTGGTTTTAAGATCTCCAGGGGCAAACCCAAAAAAGACAGTAAGAAATACACAGTTTATACTTTCTTATAGCCCTTTTATTCTACTGTAGGGCTATCCTTATTAATGTTATCCTGACAACAACCATATGGGCTGAATAAACAGGCTTCCCACTCATTCAGCAGACTGCTTAAAAAACACATTCAGCTGGGTATGAAAAGAGAAAATAATCAGCAGCCATTTGATCTCTCTGTCAAGCAACAAAACCAATGACATTTCACAATGGTGCTGATTATGCTTTCTCTTCTAGACCCCCAGTTAAAGCAAGCTCAGCTCTACTTTTTGTTGACATCTGTTGTTGGCAAGAGATTGTTTTGTTAATGTATGCGGAGCAACTGAGGACACAGAATTTACTATTGCAAAAGGCCCCCAGTAACCTCTTTCTCCATTCTCCTAAAAAATGCAACTATGTCAATTCACAACTCTTTAGGAATTTTATTATCAGTGGATGAAACTGTGGTTTCAATCTCTCAATATTGCTTCACATACTGTTTACAAATGTGAAACAAAGTAATGAGCAATCCACATGCAAATTAATGTAGGGAAGTATATTAGCCAACCACAACATGTCCAAACATTTCCAAGACAAACAACAACCATCTGAGTGGCACAGAATAATCCAACTCAAGCAAATTACATAATATGAACATGAGAAAAAAATAAGAAAGTTTGACTGTTTGATGTACATTTGGGATCCAAGCAAAAATGATGCTAACTTTAGAACAGTGCTTGCATTAAGCAGTCTGTTCAAAAAGATACTGAAAAATATCATACATCATACAAAAGCAGTTTGCACACCCTTGATGTGAAATTGTTTATGATTTCCTCCTACCTTTTTGCCAGCTATGTATCCTCCAGCTGCACCAAAGCTCTTTGTGAACGTTCCCATTAATACATCAACGTCATTGGGACTCATCCCGAAGTATTCCACAACTCCTCGGCCCGTTGCTCCCACTGCACCAATGCTGTGAGCTTCATCCAAGTAGAGGTATGCTTTGTATTTGTTCTTCAGGGAGACTATCTCCGGCAGGCGCACGATGGACCCTTCCATGCTGCTCATGGAGAGAATCAGGGGTGAGCAACAAAAATCCCTGTACTCTTTCCCATACTGGCAGGAAATATAGCCATTGATTGCCTTAGTCCACCAAAGTTCTTCTGGAATCTCAATTTTTACTTACAAGCCAAAAAAACCCCCCAAATTCGCAACCCATTCCCACTTGCAGATGAGTATACAAAAGAGTTAAATGGTTTTAGAATTCAAACACTGAAAACCAGTCAAAAAGTCTTTGGATGTTTGTAAATTGTCAACGTGTCAGAGGAGAGAAGGAAAGGCGTAAAGCAAGGCGGAGATACTTACCGTAAGCAGCACACTACAGTTCAGTTCCACAAAACAAATATTATAAAGAACAGCTAAAATTCAGTCTGGTCCTTGCTTACTTCATTGTCAGCTACTGTGGCAATATTTGGGCATTACAGCTCTAGAGCAAATTCATCTGGTGCAGAGGAGTTGGGTCCAACATACACTGGAGATGGGCCATGTGAAACCCACAGCTGGTGCCATAAACTCTAAGCATTCCAAGTCTTCACAGAATCAGGGATTAAAACAGGCAGCTGAAATCCAGTCTTGCCAATTTTTGCTTCGATATGAACTTTTTAGGAACTGTAGCCTGCTACCTAGTAATCAAAAGTAAAAAAAGTTTCCATTCCTTTTCTTTTTACTTTCTTACAGCCATGCATAAAAACAAAATATCCAGAACTGGCACAAGTTGCCCAGAGAAGCTGTGGATACCTATACCTGGCAGTGCTCTAGGCCAGGCTGGATGTGGCTCTGAGCAACCTGGTTTAGTGGAAGATGTCCCTGTCCATGACAGGGGGTGTTGGAACAAGATGGGCTTTCAGGTCCCTTCCAACCCAGACCATTCCATGATTCTATGATTAATGGTGTACTGAGATTTATAGAAAGGGGAAGAGATGATCTTTTGCACTGTTGGTGGTCATGTCAGTAAATGGGAAGACACAGAGGAGGTGTCCAGCAAAATGAAAGCACAGGGAGATAAATAAGAAAAGCTTTCTGATCCCATAAAGATGGCATTTGCAAAGTATTGCTGTGAAGACTTGTGTCTCGAAAACGTTTGTGAGATGACCACAGCTATGCTTTGATATGCTCAGATGAACTCAGTATTCATTTCATAATGAGTTAATCATGTTCTCCTCCACTAGCTCTACTAAGCAGGTCTTTAAAGGCTGAAAACTTCTTATCAAACACAAATTCAGTGTCCTGTGTGGCAGGAAAATCAGGGCTCTGTGGCTAAGGCCCACAGCTAAGGTGTATCCGCCTGCAAATGCAATGAGTTTCAGATGACCAAAAACATGGACTTTGGTCCCAAATAGCAAGTACAAAAGGGAAGTGCAATCAACAGTGCCTTGGAAATTTTTGGATCCTGGACCAATGGCTTTCACAGGCTGCTTTGTTGCCACTTGTACTGTGCAGCTGGCAGTCTGGCACCAGAAAAGGAGTACAATGTGTTTTTAGCACTCGGGAAATTTCTCACAATTTTAGTCCTTCTTCATCCTTTGGTCTCCTGACTAAACTTGGAAACTGGTCTCCAGTGTTGCAGGAGACCTGCTCAAAGACAAGTCTCCATTAGTGTAACAGCATGGGGGAGAGCCATGGACAAGGGTTGCCTGTGCTGTTCACACTGGGAGGTTCAGAGAGCCTGGCTGTGTGTGCCTGGAGGCATATTTTTGGCTGTTGCTGACTGCTGGCAAATCATGTCCTTCTGTCTTGCCCAGCCATCAAAGAGGCAGCTGTAGGACTGTGTGTTGGCACCACGGTCCCTTGCAGCAAAGAAGGGTGGGCTTGTACTGCAATCTCCTGAGGACTGGGCTTTTTCACTTTTCCCAAACGGCACTTGGCAGCTGGGGGAGAAGCAATTTAAACCACCACAGCTATTTTCCTACTGAATACAAGGGCAGGGCCTACAGTCCTCACATAGCCCAGAGTCAAAGCATCAGTCAGCTATAATGGCACTGCGGCACTGGATGTGCTTGGACATGCACCATTGTATGTGCTGGGCTTGGCAGCTTTCAGCGGTGTCTGGTGGGTCTGCAGGGACAGAGAGCCAAGGAGCAAACTGCAATCTGCACACTGCCATCCCACCCTCCACCTTCCTGAATGCTTGGGCACAACAGCCAGGCACAGAAGGACAATAATAGTTTTTCCACATTTATATGGTCGTCATTAGGCTTGGTGGCTAATGGAGATTCAAGCAGAAGAGACAGCATTTAACTTCAAAAAGAGTAAAAAGGGGTAAATTAAAAATGCTGGGTATTTGTGTAACGGAAGGAAAGTTGTGCTGAATCCCAGAATACATGAAGCTGGTACATGGCTGATGCAAGATTTAACCATCTAGAAGATTTAATGAAAACCTTTCTTTCTCATATGAGTAGGAGATTTCCCTTGGAACTCTAAGCTGCTTAGCAAAACAAGGCACTTGTATTCAGTTTCAGTTTTGATCTACTGCTCGTGAAAGATGCTGGCTGACATAAATGCAATAGTTGACAGAGGTCCTAATGTGGCCTTGAAGCATCCATGGAACAGATAAAGTGCTGCTGGAGTTATGTATATGTTCTGTGCAGCCATTGCAACAGGTCTCAGCCATCCTGATGACAGAGATGAGAAGTGTTTTGCTGCCAGCTCTGGTCTTGGTCTCTCTTGTCTCTCTTTTGACCCTGGGAGATGGTTAGTGATATGCACACCACTCTCTCTCAAATTGCTTTAAGATAAAGCTTCACATAACCCCTTTAGTAGCCCAGATGCAAAGTCTACTAAATCCTCCAGTAAATGTTTATATCAAGTGAGCCTAAACCAAAGAGCCAGAAGTGAACTGTACTGGTTCTGCCTCACTCTGACTGAGTCTCTTAGCTTTGTGTACAAATGTATTGATCTGTTTCCAGATCTGCTCAAGCACACAGGGCACATAAAAAACCCCCAGATGCAGATGAACTGTAGCTGGCTCTGCCCAGGCCAGGTGTTCTCATTACATGGTATGACATCTCATCTTGTAGCACAAACTCCTAGCTTGCTGGCAGGGATGGAAAGCTTCCAGATTGCAGCTGACCCTCATCTCCCTTGTGTGGTGGACAGGCACAAAAACTTGGGTCAGTACACACTCATTTTGAACATGCTTCCAGAAGTGAGGAGATAATCCTAAATTTTTAGAACACTCCAGTTTGGAACCTGACTCAGTCTCCACCAAAGCACTGATGTTCTTCCTGATGCAGATGTTGAATTGTGGATCCAGGTGTTTTGAGAGACAGGAGGTGTGTGCTTGGATTGGTCACTTCACTTGGAATACAGACTGGCCCTTGACACGATATTGATGGGGTTTTTTGGCCAGTTACATCTTGAAACTTCTTGGGAAAAGAGCTATTCCACCTCTTATCTACTTAATCTCTAAACATGCCCTAGAGTACCACTATCTTTTCAACATTTGAAGAGTTTATCTGTTCCCCTTTCAGGCCAGTTTGTAATTGGGAAAAATTCCTCCTTTCCTGGCCTGCTACTCACAAGACATATACATTCCTCTTTAAGAGTTACTTTAAGTACTGTTTTCTTACATAAACTTTGTACATTCATACAACAATCTCTGTTTTGTAGTTTAGAGTAATAATTTTAAGGAAATTGTTCAACTCTCCCCTCAAAAACAACTCCATTTCAACACTGAAATTATAGAAATTTTAACCTTTAATGCTGGTCCTTGGCCAAAGACATTAAATGTTACCTCATTTTTTTTCTGGAAGTCCATCACTTAATCCCAGGAAATAAAAAACAAAAAAAAACCCTGCTAAATTTCCTACACTATTGGCATTGAATCCCAAGGAACTTCTACAGCACCTGAAAAGGCATTGGACAATATCTAACTGACCAGAGCTATTTTCTTAGCTGGAAGGGAAAATACACAAATTAAATTAAAAGTAAGGAACAAACAAATGAAAACCAATCTGTTTTGATCAATTTCTGATTCTCCATAACTTCTGCCCTGAGCCTTGGCCTACCTGACTCCTAAGCAAACATGCATGGAAGAGAGCAGAAGCCTACCACAAACCATGTAAGAACACAGTAACTGATTAATCCTGAACTGGAAATGGTAGAAGCCAAGGAAAACATTAGCTGGAATACAAATAATAAAAATATTATTTAGCAAGTCAGTTTAACTTGTGCCCTGGTTACTGCCAAAACTACTTCATGCTTTTTGGAGTCAAGATTGATGGCTAGATGGTCTCCCTCAGTTTGGAACACAGACTGAATATATTTGCTCCTAGGCTGGTCCAAGTTAAAAACCAGCTTTCACTGGGAGTTACATTTACTTTTGACGATTTTTTTTTCTTTTTAAGATAATAGAGACATTAAAAAGCAAACAAAAACATACCTAATGCTATTTATTTGACATGTAGTTTGAGTGCTTCCCAAGTCAAGGGCCAATTTTGCCTTAAGTTGCCTTAACCAAGCAAAATCTGTGGTTTATGGTTCCAAACACAAGTCTGATTTCCAGAAATGCTCATGTTGGCTAACAATGACCCTTTTCAAATTTTGCCAGCTGGTAAGTGTAAACACTTTAAGATACTCCTAATGGAAACAGAAGGCAAATTTCTTTCCATACCATAAACTTCATCATACTAAGACTATGGCGTCCCATATAACAGTATTTTTTTAAAGCAGGAAAGCTTAGTGTTTTCTTTTACTTCTCTGGAAAAAGCATTTCTGTAAAAATTTGCCAGGCCAAACTTGCAAATCAAGATATTTTAACTTGGAGAATGGCTCTGACCAAGTTATTTAAATTCTACATTTGCTGTCCCTGAAGCATAACTTAAGGAAAAAAAAATAAAAAGTGGTAGTAACTATTGTAAGAAGAATACATTAACTGCACTCTAACTCCTCTTAAACCCTCTTGATGAATGTTAATTTGACATTTGGCAAACCTTCAAGAAAACTATCATTAGCCAATATGGGGCTGGAAAATTTTAGTCTTTCAAAAACCTGGGCCAAGAAAGGAAAGAACATACGAAAAGAGTAAGAGCATTTCTACTCCATCCTTCTCCAGCTTTCTTTTTCTTCTTTTAATTTTTGCATATGAAATGTTCTTAGCTACCAACAGGCTCAGAGTACCTGTGCTGTGAGCCTGCTCCTGGCAATGCCACATGTCCCAAAGGCTGGAAGCGGTGGCAGGGACACGGCACGGTGGCACATTATGGCATTCACCCTCAAGCCACAGCAGATTTGCTTTACAACCAAACCACACTCTCCAATTTCTGATCTGCTTAGACTGTGAAAACAACTAACTAACTAACTAACTAACTAACTAACCAACCAACCTAGCTAGTGCTAGGGACAGTTTCCAATAAGAGACTATTAGAGACCTGAGCTTTGTTCTTTCAGGACCTTAGGCCTTTCAGAAGCATAGGCACTCAGGGCATGAGTGGTCTTAACATTATTTAGCCTTTATGGAGCTGAAGGAACTTTATGGTTCCTTTAAGTAGGTATTCTGAGGTTTAAGGTGCTTTTATTTGGCATTCCAACAGAAGGTTTTTGAATTCTGGCAAATAAAAGATAATTTGAGAATGAACTGTAAAAATATAGGAAAAGAAAACTCTACACCAAACATAAATCTGGAAATACAGTTACAAGTTAGTATAGTTAAATAGCTAACAATGGGTTTGTTCCATTTCTTGGACTGATCCACACCTCTGTGTTACCAGTCTACCTTCTTCCCTAGTGATCAATACTCAGGACAAAGGATTTAAAAGTGAACAAAGCTCAGCAGCTGGAGCCTTTTCTGCCAGCCATGTGACCCTTGGGAACATTTGTCAGTAAAATGTTGGTGGTCCACTTAATTTCTGTGTGATCAAAGCCCTTAAATCCAAGCTTTCTTTTAGTAGTGCCAAGCAATGCTTATTTGTAGTTTTGCTTTGTTTATTCTGGTTGAAAGGACATGTTCAGCCTGCTTTGGATCAGCTGATCTGCTGATCCTGTTTCACCTCTGAGTGACAGGTGTTTAGATAAGGACTGATTTGGTCTCGTTGCAGATGGAAAATGTTAGGCAAAAAGAAAGCACTGACAGCTAAGAAGTAGTGATGACATGAGATCCTAGAACATTTCTTACCAAAAAAAAAAGCTAATTGGCTAAGCTGTGCCAGCATTTTGCTGTAAAATGGCATAAGTGACTGCCCATTGAGACTGGCTGTATTTCAGCAACACATGATACAATCCCCACATATAGAGTTTTAATGTCACTTTGATGAACCCTGTCATGGCCTGTGAATGAGTGGTTCTGGTTTCCTTCTCTCTGGGGCAGGTATTGCTACTCCCCAAACCACCCTTGTCCTGCTCCCCCATCTCCTGTCATCACTGCAGTAGCCTTGCCTACATCCCTGCAAACCTTCTTTCTGTTCACATCCCTGCTTCTTCAGCCCTTCCCTTCTCCAACTCCTGCCCATGAGTGGCTCCCCCTCCATGAGCTCCCTGGCTGCCTTCTCCAGACTGGAGCAGTGGCCAGGATGAAGCCCAGGATGATGAGCCTGGCTGGTGCCACTGCTTTGCTGCTCAACTCCAGTGACTGTTTGCTTTTCTGGTTGGGCGTAAGGTGCACCACACTGTGTAGATATCTGACTTAGGTGCTCTATAATTACATTGTATTATTGAAGCTGCTATTATCAGATACATTCTCAAAGGCACTTCTCTCATTTGAACTCCTCCAGGGACTAGGGCTATGTTAAATACCCTACATAATTCTTTGAAAGCCAGTCTTTCAATTTTCCTGTTAAAGTGTGAGTCTATTAGATCCAGCACTAGTTACTAAAAAGGTGCTGATATCACTTAACCTAAGTTTAGCTTAAGATTTCAGCAGCTGGGCAAGAAGAGGGCATGCAGAGCTTAATCAATTCTGTGTAGATGTCTTTTGATCTGCCCACGTGTAACGAACAACTCCTACTCAGCAGAACTCCTCACCAACTATAGTTCCACAAACTTTATCACATCTGTCACAACATACATCACCTTACCTGTCTTGCTCTCAGTACATCTCCCACTCAACTGTGATTTGCTAAATCAACATTCAGAACAATGTACAGGATCTAGTTGTAGCTATAGGATACAAGGTTCAAGCTGTCATAATGGAAATCAACATATTCATGAGATCACAGAAAGTCAGTGCAACTTCCACGCTCATTAAGATTTCCCTCAGATACCTAGAGTCAGAGTTTGCCCCACTCAATTCATCATTCTGTCCTCAGAGATGATAGAATACTCATCTTTCTACCACACAGACATACCTGTAAATGCCCTCCACCAGGATGATAATTTTTCTCCATGCTCTGTGGGTGCGAGGCTGTCCATATATTATTGCATCTCTCAGCAGCTTCTCGAGGCTCTGCATATCTTTATTTAAAAATAAGGAAAAGGAGGAAGGAAAAACATTAACAGTTTTTTGTCAAGAACTTTCAATTCGGTGCTACTTTTCCTAGTCAGAAAAAGACAACATTAAAAAAAAAAAGGGTCCTAAAGATAAACTTCTTTTATTATTAGGCAAGACCTAACAATTTCTTTCATTAGTGTGAATGCAATTTAGTGACAAGAAGGGTTATAAAAAGCTTCCATTATTTACCTGATCTGGGAAACTTCTAGAAGTACTCAGCATACATTTGTATTTAAAGGCAAAAGGGAATCACTTTGCTTCAGTACTGAGGCTAATTGCCAGCAGTTCTGTGTAGGGGCTACTGATACTCATAATTTATCAAGGCTTCAGTTGTGAGTGTTGGTTCCTTTCCAACCACAAGCTCACAAACAACAAGCATTTCTTCAGCAAAGGCTTTGACAAGGCTGCATGAAGCACATAAGGATGGCAGCAAGAGAAGTCTTGGAAGGAAGGAAAGCAAGTGGAAGGTGGCTGATGAGAGAGGAAGAGGCAGATGGATACAAGCACATGGCATGGACACACACTGATCTGGTGCCCAAGTGCTTGGCACTGGCAGGACTTCAATATAAGGAGGCCTAGAACAAGGTTATGATCCTTAGCTGCTTCCTTAAGGGCTGAGTGTGGGTCATCAAAAATATCTTGAAGGAAAGCCATTGAAATTTTGAAGAAGATGGAAGAAACAAGAAAGTATACCACAAAAATCAGGGTCAGGCCAAATTTGACTTTCAATGCACCAGCATTCTGGAGTCGCCAAAGAATGGACACTCTTCAAAATGAATTATTTGGGTGCTTTTCAGGAATCTGGGTTGGCATTTCAGAATGTTTCCCAAGAACATCCTGTAGAGTCACATCACCCAAATAACACTACAGATCAGCTCAAACCATGGGCGGAGAAAATCAATGGCATTTTTCCACAATATAACCCCATTTGCTTCAGCAACACAACACAGTTGATACAACCTTCTACAATAGCACAAAGTTATTGAGTAAAATGAATTGTTCTGAGGAAAAAACCATAAAAACACACCTTAGAAATATTAATATTGGCCCATAGTTTGGTTTCTGTCCCAGGGGAATGGAGCCATCTGCACATTAATTGGCCATTGTGAGTAACCTGTGCCCTGAGAGAAGGCCAGGTTATGACCTGAACCCTTCCAGATCCTGATGCTTCACCTCTTCCTAGGAACATTCAGGGATGCTGGTGCAAGTTGAAGCTCTCAGTAACTAAGCTGCCACTCTGCACCTGACCTAGCAAGTCCCTGCTGTACTCTACAAAGCACAAAATAGGCATGGACAGTAACAGTTCCCCCTTGTTTCAGTGGTGCAGTGGCCTGAACACCTCAGTGAGCTCTGAGATGGAGAATGCTGCTAGGAATAATGCAATGCAGACAGCACACTTTCCACTAGATGGCAACCAAGGAAATGAAAGTTCTCTGGTGCTTTATATGGGAAAGTTCTAACCACGCTGAGAATTTGCAGCTGCTCACGTTTTCTTTTGTTTCAAGTAGATAATATTTAGAACTCCTCTTAAAGGGCTCCCTCAGCATGACAGAGAGCTCACAGTAAAATTTAGACCCCCCCCCCTTATCTCCACCAAATGATTCTTTATTGATGTTAGTATCTTCAAAATCCTTTGGGGACCTTTGAACCCCTTTTCTCAATCACACAGGGTTTTTCAATTCAGTGTTCTATGTGTCAGTCCAGATCTGCTCTTGACTTCAGAAAAGCCATTCTGCCTCTGAGCTAAAAGCACGGCTTGAAGATTTAGTTGTTTTAACACATGCACAGGAAAAGAAAAAAAAAAAGGAGAGAGGAAATGAAGTGAAATGTATATAATTCTGTTCTTAAAAATACATGGCTGTGAATAGGTCCTCTGTCCAAACTATCATGGAACATGATACTTCAGACTGGGAGAACCTCTCCAAGGGATGAGGTTCCCTGATTTTACACATAAAGTAGTCCTGCTGGAGTACAGGCTAAGAACACATCTGTTTGCAGGATCAGGGCTATCTCACTTTCTTTCTGACATCTCATTTTGAAAAACATGATTGTGTGACCCTTTTGGAAGCCTGTAATAGTCAACACATAATTTATTCATGTGCAAATGAATTTTACTGATCTATTAATTGCCTCATTTGGAAAGGGGAAATAGGCAGAAAGAAAAGAATCTTTAGTATTCCTCACAAAAGGCTGCTTCTGTTCTTCAAGGTGAAATCAATGCTCTATGTGCTTGTGCTTAAGCTTTTGAGAAAGTGGGATCTACTGAATGCCAGGAAAAACAACAGCACAACCCCAGATGACTTTCAGATATCAAATTATTTACTCATTAAATATAGTTAGATTGAGAGACATTAGGATATTAAGATGATGAGCTGCACGAGTCCATCCTGAATAACCAGTTATAGAGAAAATAACAGTCCTTCCTTGTTTGACCATCACCAGCCCAGGGTTTGCAGCAGCAATGGCCAACAGCTGCTCACCAGCCCAGGAGGTGGAGTTAAGAATTTGACTTGATTAATCAGTCACAGCACAACCAAATCTATCCATGTTTCACTTTCCACCTTCTCCTTACAGCATTTTCCCCAGATATGGAGGATAAAGTTTCCTAAGAGGGGACAGTGGATCTATCAGTGGGTTGGTGGACTTGCATCATCCTTGTTTGAGATCTCTCATAGTTAATTCAAGAGCAATACCAGGAACACAAACTGCCAGTGGGCTGGAGCAAGTCTGAACCTGGGCAGGCAGAGTGTCATGCTGCCTGCAGTGCAGGTGGGACAGCAGGCTTCTGGAGGGAGCACAGCATGCTCAGGGAGACATGATGTCTCCACCCCTCATCCTTACACTGCAATGCTGGGGATGTCATCACCATTCCCCTGTGTGGGCTGGAAACCTGTGTGATGTCAGCTTCATTAAAATAAACAGGCTGCTGTTATTCTTATCACATTCTTCTTTTTGCTTTGTGCTTGTGACTCTGATTTTCAGTTTCTCCCTTTTGCACTCTCATGCAAGGTGGCACAGACCCTGTGGCTGCACACAAATATCTTTGTTTGGAACGTGGGAGTGGTGATCACTGCAGCCACAGCAACGGTCTGAGACTCCCCTCCCTGCCCCTCAATAAATACCAATCTCTCTGAAAGTAAAGGGCAATGGCTCAAGAAAGCTCCCTGTGCACACTTGGCAAGTCAGATGTGGCTTTCTCAAGGCAGAGAGGGGGAAGGCAGCCTCAGCATGCAGGGAGCAGGACAGACCAGTCTCCTTGCCCTGGCAGCGTCTGTGTGTGTCACAGGGAATTACACCCAGCTGGATTAGGCTGCAGTCCACCTATCTGGGCAGCAATCTTGTCTCTGATAGTGGCCAGAGGCTTCAAGGAGCACAAAACCTTAGTGGGTAATGTGCCTTTTATCCTACCCTGTAACTGCTGTAACACTGCCCTCTCTTCTGAAATTCAAGGGCTACCTACACAGTTGGAAAAAAAAAATTAAAAACTAAGGAACCATTTTGTACTAAGCCACCACAAACTCTTGGAGTTTTGCAACCAAAGGGATCTCTCTCTAATTTTTATCTGCTTACTTATCTCTTTAATTTCCCCCCATTTTATTTGCTTGCTTAATTAGTTGTACTTAGTTTCCACTTTTTTTTTAAGTTTTCCTTTAATTTCTTTCTTTTTAGCTAGAGAATATATTTGCTCTGAAAGGTGAAGGCCTTCTGCCACCTAGAATTTCCTTCATTTTTAAGTACAGCTCCTACAGGTAGCTGTGCATTCTCAAGGTGTCCTCATGGCACTTGCATCTGAACTGCAAAGCTGTAATTTGACTGAGCAGACTGAGAAATGTCAGAGTTTGGATGAACATTAATTCACAATTGTTGTCCAAGCTGGAAACAGTGTTTTGTATGAAAACCTGGACAGCTCACACCTGCATCACACAATTGTTGTCAACTACTTGATCTGTGAGAAACTAAAAAATCTCTTACTACTTTCACAACATTGAAAAGGTGCATAAGGAGGAGCTAGGAATGCATTGCCCTGATTGCCATTTCAGATGCAGATTCAAGCACCAGATTAAGGCTGGATTTTCACCTAACCAATGTGCTTGGTTATGCTTTGTAATTTCCTGCCTTCCTCATAGGATCACTTGCTCTGACTGCTCACTGAATGCAGTCAATGCATTGCAACCCCTTGCAATGAAGAGAACTGCAAATATTTTTTCCCCCATGGCCTGAGTTCTGAGCCTTGTCCCAACATTCCCACTGACTTTTCAGGCAATTGCAAATCTAAACATGAAAATGAGACTGCAATTGAGTTGCTTAATGGGAAAAATGTAGTAGAATTAGAATAAACAAATCCTAAGCCTTGTATGGTGCCTTCTTTTACAGGCTGGTCAGAACAGAACTCACTTGGATATAACCAGTCCATAACACCCTCATCTGTTCACTGAAGGAACACCTGATACCAGTATAAGACCCAGAACTGCTGTGAGAGAAACTCCTTGATAAAATCACAGCCTGATTAATGGTTAAATATTTGGTTTTGCTTTTCAGGTTTTATTGGAAGGGTCAAGGATTTTAGCTAATACTTAACCAGATAAAGGTCAGAGGTCCTGAAAAAGTGCTTTTAAATGTGTGAGGTTAGTAAAAGATTGCCTTAGAAATTAAAAAGAAAAAAAGAAAAAAAGGCCAAACCCAGTCAATCTCTCCCTGAGCCAGAAAGTAAAAGCATCTGAGTTTAGCCCCCATTTAACTGAGGGACCCCCAGTCCTGTCACTTGGGGAAGGTGGGAGAGACTCCCTGGAGACCAAAGCTGGTGAGGGTAACATTAGACACCTTCCAGCAAAAAAACTGACCAAGCCCAGGCCACTATTGCCCCAATGGTGGAGAGATGTTTTAGCATCCCACCCTCTCCCACTGCACACTGCTGCTGCCTGAATTCCAGTGCAGCACTGCAGCTCTGTCCTATCTTCCCAAAAAATCACTGCCTAGGAAATGGCAACCTGAGTGGTGCCCACCCCACAGCAGGGAAGACAAAGGCAGGTGCTTTGGGGGCAGGTCAGAATGACTTTAGTCCACTAAAACACTACTGCATACATTTAGGACTGCTTAGACCCTAAAATAAAATTCAAAAAAAAATTAAAATCCCCTAGACCTGTGATTCAGAGCAGGGGCTCCAGGGAGCTGAACTTTGCTGCTTGCAAACAAAACCTCACAGATGCCTGACACAGAAAAATTCCCTTAAACGCCAAAACCCATGTGCCAATACTGCTATGTCCTCAGCAAATGAAGACTGGAGACAGAGCTAAGGAGAGCCCACAGGAAGGGAAGGCCCTGTTCAGTAGATTTTGGCTAAGATGGAATATTCTGTTACATTTCTCTCACATAGATGACCTGTAGGTGTGTGTGCCTGTGCATTTCTCTCAGCCCAGACCTGTAAATTCCTGTCTGTTTACAAGGAAGGGATTGTTCACTGGCAGTCAGGATGCAGGGCACATTCCTATGTCCAAATAAAAACAGACTTACAGGTCCACAGCACTTTCTTTTCCTATTATTCACTTTAGGGCTTAAAACCTTCTCATACATCCATGCAATGTTTTTGCCAAAATGAAAGATACCCAGATGCCTTTTATTTCACCTAGGAAAAGCATAGATGTCTAAGGATTTTGTCTGTTCTTGAAAAGCTATACAGAATTTTATGAAAAGTGTAATGTCTAAGAGAGCTACCCACTTATTGAAATAGAACTTCATTAACTTCTATAAGAATAAGAACTACATTATACATAATTAAGGTAATAGGTAGAGATTCTTTCTCATCTTACAAATGAAATAATTTTCTATTAATAATAAAATAATAATTATTTACTTTTGAAAGATGACAAATCAATCCTCTATTACAGATTTCATGCTTTGAAATAAAGTAATAGTTTTACAGAATTAGCTAGCTACAGTTCAGCCTTTGAGACATGAAGGTACTTCATAGCACATTTAAAATGGTAGATTTTACTCTCTTTTCTGTGAAATATTTTTATCATAGAACAAAGTTTTGTATCATTTTTCTTTAGACAGAGAGTTTTTCCATAACAGAGCAGGGAAAGTAAAGGGGAGAGAGATTTATGCACTTGTTAGAACCTGATGGTGAAATCAATGCTTATTAAAGATCTTAAAGCAGTAGCTCAAAGTGCAAACTTTTCTATTCCTGCACAGAGCCAATCCAGCAGAAGGAACCTTGCATTCACAGCAAGCACTGTGACATGGAGCATGGCTCAATTCTCCTATTCTTAAGCATGACAACAACAGCACAAGCACAGTCTGACAATTTGGGCATGCCTGTATATGTCACATATCCACATATAGCAAGAATGACTCTGGCAGCACAAGCAACACAGCTCTGGTCTAACAAAACAAAATCCGTCTGAATGAAAAGAACCTTCCCAACCCAAGCTGGAATTTTTGGTCACTTAATTAATAAACTTTTGGTCCTTAATTTTTATGCTGTACTGACTTGTGTTACACTACTCCCTGACAGACTCAGAGGGCACAAGGCTGTCTGCTCCATTTTGGGTGAAAGCATGCATCCTACAAAGGCATCAGCCCTGCTGGGTTATGCTCTCCACTGCTATCTCCCTCAAAACACATCCTATTTCCCCCAAAGCAAAAGGCATTCACACGCATCTCTGCATGTGTGATTTTAGTTGTTAGTGATGTGTAACTCATGGTGTTAAAAAAAAAATTTTAAGACACAACTTTTTAACCATAAAAATAACAAACTGAGAGGCTCAGAGCGGGCTGAGAGAAAGCATGGGCATGTGAAGCTCTCTCTAAATGAAGTTTAGAGTCAGGACTACAAAATTGTGACAACAAAAGCTGCCACTCAATTCCAAACAGTACTTGCATGTCTGAACCCAAGAAATTCATCTGATTGCCCTAGAAGACTTGAGACCCTGATGGAGGCTCAGAGACCTTGGCACGGAGTCAAAGACACCTGTGCCTTTGATTTTAACCCTTAGAAACAATTACCAACTTTGTGTGAAGAGTTGCAAGCCACAAGAGTTTGAGTAAAATGATAGTGAATTTATCACCAAGTGAAAATGTAGAATTTTAAAGTTTTTAGAAAGGGGGTTCAAGAAACAAAATAGAAGAATGTAAGCGTGTCCAATCTTTCTCCTTCTTCTTCTTAGCCTCCATCTTCTGCTGTGATAGTAACACTTTTAAATTAATTTAGAGTAAAGACAAACTGTTAACATAAGTGATAAGTATTAGAAAATTATTGTAAATAATGTACACATAATTTTTAGTATAAAAGATAACACTGCCCCAAGGTGGTCAGTATGCCATAAACCGATGTGCTAGACAGATCTCAGCAAGTCAGAGAAAGACAATGTATTAAATAAAGGCCAATAAACAACCTTGAAAACAAAAGCCAAAAAATTCTGCCTTCTTCTTCAGTCTCAAAGCTGAGAAAGAGAGATTTTCTAACACCCCAAAGTTATCTCAACACCAAGGACCCCATCACTTGCACAAGTTCCCAAAGTTTCATTTTGGAAGTAAGCTAAGGTGATGTCCCAGCAATGGCATATAAGGCTGTCTTTGGCAAATAAGATCCTTAATCCTGAAACCAATGAGTTTTTCCAAAGCAACTAGGATGGGCTTCCACTGAGGTTTGCAAAGATCCTTAAAGGAACTGTCTGAATTTTCCAGTGCTAGATTAGTGCTGTTTGGGTAGCTCACTATTATTTTTAGGCTTACCCATTATTCAGAAGAGCATCAGCTTTAATTTACTGTCAGTGAAACAGAAGCTGGTTAGGTATCAGGTTCTGGGGAGGGGAATGAGATATTGAGGAATGGTCAGAGACTGAATTCCTTAAAGCAAGCATGACAGCTCCAGGTGGTATCTTCACAGCTGAGAGTAACATACTCCTCAAACTGAAATGTTTTCTAAAATGATGTGGGAAGTGACACAAGCCAGCTGGACTGCACACAGCACAGGTGGGTGGAGAGGCTGAGAGTGTTTGGATTTGGGTAGTAAGAGGTCAACATTCAGGGTGTGATGCAACCTGATTGAATGGGATAAAGCTTTGAACAACTGAGCAAAAGTTGAGAAAAGACTGGTGTGGCAACCATGCTTAGCATATCCACATTTGTGGAAGTGGATCAAGTTGGGGTGTGCTACAGTTATTATATGGTTAATTCTGTAAAAATGTTCAGATGGTCTTTAATCATTGAATGATCTTCAGAAATTGCTTCTTGCCCAAATTATGAACTGATATTAAGTATAACAACATCTTATAGTATAATTATGGTGTTCTTTTAATTCCTACTCCTCCTTAGGCCTTTTACAGCATATGCATAATTCATTTTTGCTTCCCTTAAGCAACACTTAGTAAAGACAAGGGATTGTATTAGCCATTAAGAAAGGTAATCAGACCACTCCCCTGATTTCTTACCACTACACTAGCTTCTAAACCTTTCTTGCCTGCTGGCAGCAGTGAGGATAGAAAAGGGAACTGTAATGGGGAATAAGGGAAAAGAAAAAGCTCTTGTCAGCAAAGGCAGTCCCAATGTCTCTGACAGTAACCACAGCAGTACTGACTAAATACAAGTTAGAGAGCATGAGCATTTTAGAAGATAACTATACAATTGCAAAGTTAATGTGTGATTTCTACACTAAAATACTATTTCAAAGAATATTTGGGATGATGCTGTTGATATAACCATCTGCATCTTTGCTATTAGATCTCTGGGAATTCAGAGTACTGCTTCAAAGGAATGCCATGGTAAGGTAATTCTGGTTTCACTGAACCTGCTGGAAACAGGCATGTTTGTAAGTATGTTTCTACTGTTTGGGCTACAATGAAAAAAACAATAAAACTTTTGTGGCAGCACACAGTCATTCAGCAAGTCAAAAAGACACAATAGCAATTATAGTACTGCACTTATAATTTTTCCCATCAGAAACCACTCATAATATTAAGCAGTTGATCCTCCTGCCTGGACAAAAGCATCATCTGGCAACTGACAGCAAAATAAGCATTAAAAGAAATCATTCTTGCCTTTGAGGTGTGAATAACTCTGTCTGTAAAGTTTTCCAATTCAATACTTACTATTATGCTTGAAGATTCTAATAGTGGCACCTGAAAGCCTCGCACCGAGAACGAGAGAAGTGTGGTTCAACTCATCACTGAGAATGAGGCAGCCCTGTGGAGAAGGAGTACAGTGAACATTTGTATCAACTGGGAGGCTGCAGCCCCGTGTGCATGTGTGTGCCGGCATACACAGGTGTCTGTGATAGAGCATTGCACCAGTTCAGCTGTAAGGATTAAACATTAAATGAATTTTTTGCCGATTTTCTGAAGGTGCTGGAATATGATATAGAGTTTCTTTGAGTTAGGTCTTGTAAGCTCTTGGAGATTTATATCACACCCCAGATAGCTCAGCCACCTCAGATGGCATTAAATCAGCAGGATGGCTTCTGTGGTAGTGTTGGAAACAGAAAAGTTTTAATAAAAGGCAAAATAACAAAAAAAACCCTAGCCAGGGCAAGAGGTTCTTGCTCCTGATAAAACACCTCACAAAAGCTATTAGTTCCTTTGTTCTCTTCTTTTCCTAGTAAATTGCTTGGGCAGGACTTTTTGGCTCGTGTCCAGTTGGCTATCCTTAAGTTTGAGGTGAAGTCCCCAAGGTTTATGAGGTGTCTTTTTACCTAATTGAGGAGAGAAACTTCTAAGATTTTTTTTTCCTTTTTTAAGAGACATAAAATTGTTTTGTCACTCTTTCAATAAAGGGGCACATTCCTACAGGGGTGCACTGCAAAGACAGGCTGAAATAGTGGGATCAGATTCTCAGGCATTCCCAGGTGATGCACAGGGGCCCAATATTTCCTGTAACTGGAAAACAGAAAATAACCCTATTAAAGACTGAGTTCTTTATATAAAATCAGGCAATGTTGCTTCCTGTATCACCTGTTTACAGCTCATTTTGAGTTGTAAGGAAAATGCAGCCACCACCCCGCATATAAAGGCTGCATGGCAGTAGGGTAAGGAGCAGTAATAACGAGGCTGGCCTGGCATCAGCCCTTTGGACTGCAGAAATGAGATGAGGAGAGACTGATGCCTTGTCACTCCCATCTCCATTAGGATGTGAGTGAAGTTTAGGAACCAGAGTCTTGCTCTGGTAAATGCATATAGAGTTGACCTGTAGTATACTTTTTATTAATTAACTCAGCTGAAAACTCCTTTTGTTTTTAGAAACAAAAATAGAAATGTGGGAGAAGTAAACTTGTCTATTATATTGAGAAGGGGCAGGACTCACAGTTGAAATTCAAGCTTGAGCCCTTGTTTAGCTCTGCTTTCTATTGAACATGTTTTGCTGTGTTTCATTATGCAAAGGGCAACCCATAATTAAGCAAAAACTTATTCTGGTATCATAGATTAGGCCTAGGTTGAGAGATGCTAACACAATCTCCACAAAGACTGGTTTGCAGAACTAACAATAAGTGTAGATGCAGCTTGACAAGAAAATGTAGCTGCTAGACTTAATTATAGAGGAAAACATAGGAGTAAATCTCTCAAACATAGGATATAATATTTGAATAATATTTCTATAATATTTGTAATATGTAAAATAATACATACTGAAATTTCAAATATATATACACACACATATTTATTTGCTAAAATACATACAGTAACATCTTTATTTGTGCCACTTATATCTATCCAACCTCTGACAGAGGCTTGAATCTCAACATGAAGCCAGGTAAGGGAGGGAAAATTATTATACAGCTAAGACAAGTGCATATCTCACACTGCATATCTCCAATTCCATAAATTTACCTTCATTAATTCTCTGTATCTGTTCCCCTTGAAACTGCTGGACAAGGTCTCCAGCATTGCTGAAGACTGAAGCTCATGTTCTGGATGACTGAAGCAACTCTCCCTGCCCAACACTTGTGTACATGTATTTTAGAGATCTTGCAAAAGCTGCAGTCATCTTCAACAGAGAGTGAAGTGACTGCAGCTCTGTGCTGGTGTTTCAGAAGTCCTGGTCATACATCACAAAATGAATTCATTCTACCTCCACCAAGAAGGAGGTCATGCTTTGTGCTTGCATGGCACACTTCAAGGTGCTCCACACCTGGACAAGCCAAGGAGGAGTTACCCACTTTCCAGCAATCAGCACAGCGTACCAGTTCGCGATGTCCACAGCTACCAGTGACAGGATGATGGATATCCTTTGAGTTATCTACTCCAAACTGGAGAGGAGGTTCCTTCAGCACCAAGAACCCAATTTTTGTAACATGATCACAGCTTTAGACTTGATTTTGCTGCCAGCTTTCTTGGCAGGGCTGGCTGGAGCTCTGTTCCCCAGGAATGCTAAGCACTGTGCATTTCCTTTTCTCAAAGTGTTGTAAAAACTACCCTAATCATCATCTTTCATCACAGGCAGCTGGGCAAAATCTCAGCAAGTAGCCTAAATACTTCATCCCATAAGACCTGGACATGGGATTCAACATTTGGTTACTTTTTAAGGAGAAGCAACTTCATTAAGAGGAGCTAGAGCGCTGTATTATTGATCCTTCAGCAGATGTTAGGTATGTGTGATAGCAACACTCAGTGCCAGCACAGGTGATAAAGAAGCATATTTAAAGTCACAAGGTCATCAGCTTTATGAGTCACAGATTCCCGATACCAAGCTCTGTTCCTCGATGGAGCCTTTCCACTCACTGAAAGCCCAGAGTACTGCAACAGCAGTTAAAACAATTAATAAATATTCTCTGTGTTCCTGAAGGGAGTACTCACCTTTCCAACAAGGGCTGGAATATTCATTGAGTTAGTTGCAAAGCCCATGCCAAACACCATAGCATCTTCCACACCAAGGAACTTGGCCACGAGTTTCTCTAGTTCTACATGTTTGTCTAGGGTGCCTGCAGAAAGAAGCACAGGGAATATTAAATCTCATTGAACTGTGAAAGTTATTATGACACAAAACATACAAAAGAACAGGCTAGAAGCGCGTCATTAAGCTATGTGACATTAAGTTCTGATGAGGGTTTTCCATTTGTGTCCTGCTCATGTGGGCTAGTGCAAGAGGTGCAAACCAGCTGTGACTGATGCTAACAAACACTGCTGCTGTTAGGGCAGCAAAGCAGTTGCTATGGAAAAAAGCTTTATTTTCCCACAATAACTTTTGACATAGTTTATTCTGAAGACTAATTTGTTGTCTTTTTCTCTCCCCTGCAGTAAGGACAAAAATACCTTCTTGTAGGAAATGTGGGACAAATATTTTAGGCATTCTTGAGTTCTCTCCAGATGTGAAAACAAAAATGGGTGACAACAAAATTCTTCCTTTTCTATTGTCTGTCAATATATGTGTACAAAATTCTTAATTAGGATTTTATATGGCTAGAAAAACAAAAGCATTCTCCATATTTTTCTCTGCCTTGGAAGGTAAAAGCTGATGACAATATATAACTGATGACAACTCTGCTCTTTCTTTCCTCTCAACACTAGACTCTTCTTTATTGCATATTAATTATCTAATATTAGTGCTTGAAGTCTCCAAACAAGTAAGGCTCTCCAGCTATCCAACAAAAGCAGTATCCTTCCTGCCCAGCTCACAGAGAAGGATGACAAAGTACACAAGGCAAACAAACAAAAGAGTGGTGTTAAGAGACTGAGATAACAGATAGCTTTGAACAGTAAGGAATCATCTCCACTTGCCAGCTCTCTAGTCTTTGGTTGCCTGGCTGTGCATTGCAGGGACCAAGGCAGAAGGAACAGGATGATCTGTGGGGAAGAAAAGAGAGTGGCCTGTGGGTTCTGAGAGAGCATTTCCCCTATGAATAAGGCTGTAATCAGAGAACAGAAGAAAAAAATTAGGCAAGTGAATATGTTACCTCACTCGCACTGCACAAGCTGATGGCACAATGATATAAAGGGAATTACAATGGATGGAACAAGAAAGCTGTGTTCACTGTGATGGACCAAAGGCAGATGAGTGGAGAAATGCAGAAGCTTGGCTAGAGTGTCTCAACAAGAATGATGAGTCAGGAAGATGATCTTACCTTCATCATGGAGCAGAGCTCATTAAAAATAATCAAATATAAATGTCAGGAGAACAGTTTCAGCAACAGCAATAAGCAGCTGGTTACAGTGAAGGAGTGTTTTCAATATTTTTTTTCTCATTAAATATTTAAAGTAAGAATGACATCCATTTGGAAATAGAATGTGACAAATATCTATCAGGCAGGCAGGTAACTCTCCAGCTATCAGGGAAATAAGGAGCAAGGATCATGCGGCTTCTTGAAAAACCTGGATTACATGGACAGTAAAGAACAGCAGAAATGCTGAGATTCTGCCAGAGCCTTCCTGGGTTGTGCTAGAGCTGAGCCTACTCCAGCAGAGCTTCAAGAGTGTCTCTGCACTCCTTGTATCACACTGCATGTACCTGGGGCTGGGTTGCCTCTGTGCTCGGAGAATGAGGTAATGGGACACAGAAAATGTGGCTCTGCAGAAACTCCACTACCTGTGAGCTGAGTCTGTGTGAAGCTCTTTGAGGATGGCTATTTTTTGAATTTGTACATCCCAAGACACATGAGGATATGAGCCGGCTCTGCACACAGCCACTGTTTAGTACCCAGGTTCCATGAAATACAAAACAGTGTTTCAGAGCTAAGCTGCTCACTGGAAATGTGGGTAAGAATCTGTCCTGTCATAAGGTGTAAGCCCAGCAGGACCCAGTATTTATTTCTGAGGTTCTGTATTTTTTGCAAATTGGGCCTATCTAGTCTTCAGTCTACAGCACCCATGGACAACTAAGAGTTCCAGGAGGATCAGCTGCCTTAGTGCACCCTGCAGATGATATTTTTGTCACTCCAGGGCTCTCAGCACACCAAAAGAAGATGAAGTCTGAAATGGAAGCTCAAAGTCAAGCACACTATGGTCACAGCTTAAATTAGAAGGTTTGTGAAAGCATGAGAAACAAGCAGTGTGTGCTTTGCAAGGCAGGCATTTTAAGGCATGACACAATTGTCTCTGACTCTTCCAGGGATAAGTCTGACACTGGGGTGGAGTTAAATTGCTTTTTGGGGTTGCATCACATGTTTTCTGTTTTTATAAACAGGAAAGGCCTGACTCAATACACACTGTTCTGTTGAAGCTCCTATTAGATGACCCACAAAAAACCAGCACATTTTGCCCCTATTTTTATTGATTTTGTCATGGTGGAGAATGACTCATTTTGACAGTGACTGATTCCTACTTATTATTTACTAACCCTAAGTGCCAATGCAGATGATACTCTACATCACTGTTGCCTACAAATCCTGGAATACAAATTGAAATTGGTTAGCAAAACAAAATCCTGAATGACAAAGATTTGCAAACTGAGCCCTGGTTTTGAATCATGTTAATTGCCATGGCAATATTGGTGGTGGTAAGTAAGGTGTTACAGAAGCAATACAACACACACCAGTACTGTCAGTGGGAGGTTCATGGCAGCTGTATACATTGAAGAGTTGAAAAAGCATATAATTATGCAATTATTTAATCATATCAGGAGATATTTCTACACAGGATGTCCTTGGACACTGTACAAATGGCATCAATTCTATCACCTCTCTCCACTGGAAGAAACAAGGGGTCAGTCATGTGCTGCTAGGATGAGGTTTGTCCACTAGCACTCCCAGCTGGTCCCAGCCACCACCATGACAAGCATAAACAGCACTGCCAGACAGATGCAAATTTGATCCAAAGGAACTGGCACAAGCTGAAACATCTCAGCATCTCAAGCTATATAACAAAGGCAGTAATTACACAGCTCCTCATTAAATACAACCTTAGAGATGTCAAGTAAGGTTAGCTTGGCCCTTAAAATGTTTTGTATTGTGCCAGATTCAAGACCAGTATCATGATCTGATGAATGATAAGTGATATACTAGATATATCTTTTTAATCTGCTGTATACACACCTGCCCTATAAACAGACATTAGAATTTCCCCACTAACTGACTACAGCTTGGCTTGACCCAACAAATGAGGATACAACTAAACAATGTACACCAAATCACCAGGAAAGATTTCAGACAAAAAAAGAGAAAGGTACCTGCATCTTTAAGAGACAAAATCCTTTTGAAAGTTATTCTTCCCTGCTGAACAGCTGTAAGTAATACAATACAGCAGGAGTTACTGTGATCCAAGACTATATAGGTATTAAGATTACAGATCATATCAAAAGTGGACTTTCACAATGGGAACCACCTCCACAGATTCCCACACTTCTCACAGCAAATCCCCTCCTTTTCAAAGTCTGATGACCCAGTTCCCTCCATTAACTTGCCACTGCACTCTGGTGACAGGGAACATGAAGTACACTGTGTTTTGACAGGCTTTTTCATACACTTGCTGTTTTTCATATCTATGCTGTTGGGCTGAAAGTCACTGCCAGACTACTAGAGAGATAAAGCTGGAAAATGGACTTCCCATGATCCATAGAGTCATTATTTAGTTTGACATTTTCAGCTTGGACTTTCAGTGGTTTATGCCACTGCCCAATACAGTCTTTCAGGTTCTTATACACTAATGACACAGACTGGTTGAACTGCCAACACTGGCAACAGTATCCTGTCATAGAATTTTAAGTTTGGAATTCTAACAGCCAAAGAAGACAGGGAAACACCTGCTCCCCTCAGGTCAAACAAAAGCTGGAAGAGTAAACTGATACAAGCAACAAGGTCTTGAAAGAAAAAAGAGCAGCTGGGAACCCTGTGCATCCCTGGCATGACTCACCAAGGTGACTGAGAACCATTACACTATGGAAATGAGGGTTTGTCAGCAGCATCCTTGGGAGGGTGGGGAGCAGAACAAAACATCTCAACTTCCTTGTCACAGCTGAAATTTAAGGTCATAAACTCACTCTGGCAAGATGAGTACACTGCATGGTAAGATGCTTGTCAGAGATGAAAAAAAATCTGTATAATTGAAAGACATACATGCTTTTACAAAAAGCAAGATTGGATGAGTTATTAATAGCAAGATGAAGAAACAGAAGCTGTGGAAATTATATTAATTCTTTACACCATGTTACCAGAGCAGATGGTGCATATGGTATCACTGTCCTACAGACCCACTAGCAGAGGAAAGCCTCAACTTGTAGAATGGGATTTGTTGGAAAAAGAAGGAGAAAAGCACACAGTAATGTTATGCAGTTGCCTCATTTAACACTGTGCAGAAAAGAGTCCCAAAATAAGGGGGTTTTGATTAATCATTTGATAGAAAGGAAATGCTCAAGTTTTCTTAACATTGCTACCAACTGACAGGGCTTTCATACCACAAAGATGCCATGGGTGTCATAAATCTAATAATGTACCTGTGTAATTTAGTGATTCTCAGAAAAAAAATTAGATTAGTTTTAACAGAACTTCCAGCTGAATTTAGATCTTCTGGGTTTGTTTCTTTTTTTTTTTTCTTTTGCCTTTAGAAAAACACAAAGTTAAAATTTCCAGCATCTTCATGCCAAAGCCTGAATGGCAGCATCTTAAGTATCTAAATATTTGCATGCAGATAAAATCATATATCAGAGATACTTTAGGTATTAAACAAGTCACACAGCCCTTAATTCCTACAGATGCCTTCAATTCCACCTGCTAGAAGATGGGCTATCCAGACTATTAATCTTGCATTGCAAAGCATACTTTTGCAATGGTGAAATACAAGGAACAAACCTGATCCTATGATTACAAATTGATTGTAAACTGGATTAGTTATTTATGAAAGGGTAGGCACACAAAGGAAAAGTATGTTAGTGAACATGACAAAACTGTTTCCTAATTTATACCATACCCTATCAGAAAATAGCTAAGATTATTAAATATGTGTATATATACATATATATATATATATACATGCACACAAATTCTCATTTTTG